GGCTTTTTTCTTTTTGCTTATGTGGTGCTGAGGAATCGAACCCAGGGCCTCAGGCATGCAAGGCAAGCGCTCTACCACTGAGCCACCTTCCCAGCCCCACATATGTACTTCTTGATTGTCATTACAAAGGGTTATTTTCTATATACTAAAAAAATAGCCACCAGATTCAGACTTTACACTGAGTAGTGATTAACCTATGAGAAACAATTGCATTGTAGAGAAAGGATTGCAGTTAGAAAGGCTGTTAGGAAATTTGGCACTAGTGGCTCATACCTGTAATTCCACCTTGTTAGAAGGCAGAGATTGGGAAGATCATGCCAAGCCAAAAAAAAAAAAAAGTAAGCAAGACCCATCTGAATAAATAAACTAGTTCACATCTTTAATTCCAGGTCCACAGCAAATGTAATTAGGTAGGTCACAGTCTTAAGGCCCTGGGGAAAAAAATGTGAGACCCTATCCAAAAAATAAAGCAAAAAAAAAACACAAAAAACCAAAAGGGCTGGAAGTGTGGGTTAAGTGGTAGAGCCCTTTGCCTAGCAAAGGAAAGGCTTTGATTTAAAATTCTATACCACGCTGGGCATTGGTGGCTCACACTTGTAATCCTAGCTACTCAGAAGGCTGATATCTAAGGATTGCAGCAAAGTCTGTAAGACTCTTATCTCCAGTAAACCACCTGAAAACTTGAAGTGGTGCTGTAGCTCAAGTGGTAAAACGCTAGCCTTGAGCTGAAGAGCTGAGGGACAGCGCCCAGACCCAGAATTCAAGCCCCACAACAGACAAAGAACAAAAACTATACTACCAAGAAAAATACATTAACAAGTAAAATCAAGTGTAGGAACTTTTTTCCTAGAGATTGGTTTCAGTGACTTATGTATAAAGTATTAGAATTTTGGGCTGTCTGCAGTTACTCTGATTAGAAGTACCAGAACCTCTTTATAGTTTTTCTCAAAGGGGATCATCTGTGTTTGTTGCATTGTTTTGTGGGGTTGGCTTTTCTTTTTTTTCTGATCATGAAATACCGTGTTTCTCACAATTTCATGACTTCTAAGGTCAAAAGTCATAAGTCAGAGCAGTCCCCAGTATTCCTGTTCATCGTGATTTTTTTTGTTTATTCTTTTGTATTCATTTTTTTTTTTTAGTATATGTGCTGCCGAAGCGAGCACTGTATACATTTTTTTGTTGTAAAAATACTGTACAGAGGGGTCTCAGTTACATGAGTAAGGTACATTTCCTATTGAGCATTGTTACGTCCTCTTTTGTTTTTCCCCTACCATCCCTTCCCTCCACAATGTTTTTGACTGCTGGCCTGCCCTCTGCAGCATGGGGATCATCGTATTGGAACTCTACTGGAAACATGCCCCGAAGACCTGTAAGAACTTTGCTGAGCTGGCTCGTCGAGGTTACTACAATGGCACCAAGTTCCACAGAATCATCAAAGACTTTATGATCCAAGGAGGGGACCCAACAGGGACAGGTACAGTTGAACAAAACAGGTTTCTGAAGTCTCAATCGTTACTGCTAGGTGACTTGCCACTTACCTGGGTAAAGTTGGGGGATTCTGTGACAGTTCCCACCTGCCTTCACCTTCCTCAAACACATCGAGTTCACCAGTTGCTAATCTTCCCTTCCTTGAGTTTCCTATAATGTTCATGCTCCTTAGCATGGGCAAACTATTTGCCAGACCTGTAGTGATGCAGAGTGGTTCGAACAACCAGAAATAAAAAGGCATCTTGAGAAGAATAAATAATTGGGTCCCTTTATTGACTTGCTTAATTAGCTGTGTTGAGCACCAGCTTTGGGTCAGCTATTTTTCTAATTGGTAGGGCTTTAGCTGTGAACAAGGAGACAATTCCTGCTGGACAAAGCAAGGAAACTGTGGGGATGTGGAACAGAGATGTGAATGAGGAAAGAAAATGAGCCTTGAGGGCTGAGAAGGTGGCTCAGTGGTAGAGGGTTTGCCTTGTGTGCATGAGGCCCTGGGTTCGATTCCTCAGCACCACATAAGCAGAAAAAAAAATAAAGCCGGAAGTGGTGCGGTGGCTCAAGTGGTAGAGCACTTGCCTTGAGCTGAAAAGCTGAAGGACAGCGCCCAGGCTAGTTCAGGCTGCACAACCAACAAAAAGAAGAAGAAAAGAAGAAAATGAGCCTTGAAACTAGGGGAAGCATTCAAGATGGGCTGAAGAACAAACACAAGGCCTGGAGGCTGGAGCATGCACTGGCCGCACGGCGTGCAGTAGAGAAGGATGTGTTTATTCTCAGTTGATGACAGTCACTGGAGGGTTTTGGTAAAGGAATGAGTGGTGTGATTTATCTAGGCTTTAGAGCAAGCACTGGCAGTTTGGAGAGTAGATGTGTGGGCCGGTGTGCTCAGGCAGGGCTACCGTAGAGAAGGTGCTACAGGTGACTGGATGCAGGTTGTTATTGGGACTTGCTGGCAGATTGGATGGGTGGTTCAGGAAATGGGCAAGGATGCTTCTCGGTTCCTGATGGGCAGATCTGGAATTTGATGGTTGGACATGTTATATTTGAAATACTTGATCTTTAAGTGCATATGTGGAGTAGTTGGATATGGGAGTCTGGAATCAAGGGAAGATCTGGTGTGGAGACATGAATTGGGAGGGACTGGCAGTTAGTGAAACTATTAGAACGTTGCTTGTTCTAAGAACCCTCACCTTTCAGTTTGCCTTTCTCTGCTAATTCCTGTTCTTTTGCCTTTAAAATAAGCTGAATTTTTATCTGTGGTAGAACCTTACTGTTCTTTGACATTCTCAATTGTTCTTTATGACCAGAAGCATTCAGGTTTGTTCTTCTAATACAGAAATATTTTAGAACACTATACAGTAAAGTATGTGAAGGGGGTTGTAAAGATACCCAGCCTCTGTCTCCTATTTCCTACCTCTCAGAAGTGAGCATCTGTAACTTTTTGGTGGCCATCATGCCACATGTTCTTCTTTCCACAATCTAGTCGAAAGGATGGATAGCTAGCTAAATAGAAGTGTTTTCAAAAGAATGATGTAAGATGTATACGCTCCTTTTCAAAAACAAAAAGTATTATATTTGTATTTTTAACAGAAAAACTGACTGCTATGAAGCCAGTCAGTACTTCTTTTCTACCCGTTCTTATTCCCCAACCCTTACTTTTGTTCATTTCATTGCTTTAAAAGCATTTTTATTGTCTTTAAGTAGTTATACTGAGAAGTTTCCATTCAACAAAGTAGTTTTATTGCTTTCTGCTCTACACCAAGAGCCCAGCCCCACATGGTGTCTGCTTCCAGAGGGTTCATTGCTCACCACGTGCTGACCTTGTTCGCAAAGCAGGCCTTCTCACCTGTTGGTTTTATTGCAAAGGCTGGAGGGTGTTTTATCTCCCTATTTGCTCCTGTTGCTTTCACGTCGGAAAGAGCCTGGCAGGCCATCACTGTTCTTGGCCACCTTCGTTCCCTCAGATCCATCGCCGTCTGGCTTTGAATGTGATTCAAAGCATTTGTAAGGTGCTGAGGCCAGGTTGACTGGATCCTTCAATTCAGGGAAGTTTTTGAAAAACTCTTTCTGGGTATTTTGTCCAGTGATACTTATTGAATTTCTATTTCAGGAAGACAGAGAATGCTATTTGGCGACCCATGCTGTCCATACCTATCATATTTCCTTTGATGAGGTGATTTTCCTTTCCCTGCCTCCACTGAGAGTCTCTTCCCTCAGCCTTATTCAATTTTCAGTCTTGTTTTCTGTTCTTTTCTGCCTTAATTTCTTCATTGCCTCTTTATTGCTGTCATTTGGACTTCAATTTGTGTCCTTAGCTCTGTGATCCTCTCACCTTATTCTTTGATTTCTTAGCTGGTTTTTGAGCCTTATTTTATGAGATTCTCACTCCTGCTGAGCCATCTCTGTCATGACAGCCACAGGAAGCCCTGTCCTGGCTTGTGCCAGGCAGGCCCTCTACCACTTGAGCCAGGTGTCCAGCTATTCCTGTTGTTTGTAGCTGGTTTGCAATCCTTCCTAATGTTACTTTTCCATGGTAAACTTTAATGAAATCGAGGCACCCAGAAGATTCGCTCTTCAGTGAGTGCTTGGGCAGCTGACTGGCAGGACTGTGGCAGAGGCAAACAAGGGGCAGTTTCTCCTGGTCTCTAGCTGATGCCTTTCTCAGACCTGGTGGCCTAGTTTTTTTCTGAAAAGCTGAGGTGGGCAGGTATAGGTCCTGAGCTCTTAAGTTGGTGAACTGATCTCCGGTTGGTGTCCTCTGATGCGTCTGCCAGATGTTTTCTAACCACTTAGGTTCCTTCCACTTCCTCCCTCCCTACACGTGGCCATTTTCTGTCTACAGTCTCCCCTGTGAAAGCCCTTTGGTGTCTGTTTTCCCTCACCTTCCATGTATCTTTTCTTTGCTCCTCCTGGCCTCTTCCTCCTCCTTTTCCTTCTTCCTTCCTCCTTCTCTATTCCCCGTACCTAGGGAGTCCTTCCTGCAGGTCTCCTGAACGTTCTGCCCTTGGCCCCACACCCCAGGGCTCCCCAGCTGCTGGGATCTGATGATTAATTAAGGCTGATTATTCCACTTGTCACTCTTGCTCTGATTTCATTTCTCTTCTTGGTAGCCCCAGGAACACCTAAAATTTGTCCTGATGAACACAATCTCGTTGTTAATTGTATTCATTTGATGCCTCTTTGCCACGGGTCTGCTGTGTATCTGCCTCGTTCAAGGCCCACAAGGGGAATTTGGCAGTAGAAGCCAAGGCGATGTTTTCCTTTGCAGCACTCCCAGCCTTGCAGGAAGCAAGCTGTTCACTAGAAGAGAGAACAGAGAGTGGCAGTTTAAGTACAGTATGCAGGTGTCTGCTGGCGTGATACGGATTGTGTGTGGGACGGGTTGTGGTATTCATAATCAGGGAACAGTACAGAGGAGAGGCTGGGATGGCAAGGAGGCATACTGTGAAGTGGCCTTGGAGGACCTGAAGAGTTCTGACTCTTGGGAAGTAGAAGGAAGAGCATTTGGGACTTAGAAAGATGAGTGAGTGCAGGGTGCCATTGCTTATGTCTATAATCCTAGCTACTCAGGAGGCTGGATCTGATGATCATAGTTTGAAGCCAGCCTAGACAGGAAAGATTGTGAGACACCCATCTCCCTTTTTGTGTGTGTGTCTGTCCGTTGTGGGGCTTGAATTCTGGGCCTGGGTGCTGTTCCTGAGGCTAGCACTACTACTTGAGCCACAGCGCCACTAATGGTTTTCTGAGTGGTTTATTGGAGATAAGAGTCTCACGACCTTTCCTGCCCAGGCTGGCTTTGAACTGTGATCCTCAGATCTCAGCCTCCTGAGTAGCTAGGATTACAGGCGTGAGCTACCAGTGCCTAGCGACACCCATTTCCTTAATGACATTTGGAAGATCTAGTGCTGAAGACTCCTCCCCCCCCCCCCTCCATGGAGCCCTGATTAGCTTTGGTCTCCCAAGAGCTCTCGTGCTCCTGTCAGGAGGTAGCACAGAGTGGTTGCTCAGCACCTTGACAGTCGCAGGCAGGAGTATTACCCAGCACTTGTGTCCAGCACAAGAAAAGATGGCCATCCTGTGGAATCCTGTCCCAGGCCAGCCAGGGACAGACTAGACAGAGCTCACTAACAGGAAGCTAGAAAACTAACAGCATGAGAACATGTGAAGTACAATATTGTTATATAAAGTTAAAGCATTCACAAGAGCAATGCAGGTTGTTTAGGACCAAGCAAGCATATGCAGGGAAACGGTGAACTCCTACTGAGAATAGCTATGGGCTTCTGGGCAGGCTCTCAGAAGGGACCAAGAAAGGTACATTGGATGTGGGTGTGGTCTTAACTGCATTTGCCGTACTTTATTTCTTAGTGGAGATGTTATTCTTTGTATATTTGTGTTTTATGCCCAAAATGTATATATTGGAGAAATGTGGGAGTTTTGTTATTACCTTTTGTGCCTGTCTGGTGCTCAAACTCGGCTTGAGCACTGTCCTTAAGTTGTTCTTTGTTGTTGTTGTTTTGTCAGTCCTGGGGCTTAAACTCTAGGCCTGGGCGCTGTCCCTGAGCTCTTCAGCTCAAGGCTAGCACACAGAGCCACAGTGCCACTTCTGGCCTTTTTTTACTGTTTATATGGTGCTGAGGAATCGAACCCACGGTCTCATGTGTGTGAGGCAAGCACTCTACCGTTGAGCCACCTTCCCAGCAGTCCCTAAGTTTTTGTGCTCAAAGCTAGTGTTCACCACTTGAGCCACAGCTCTACTTCTGGCTTTTTTTGGTGGTTAATTGGAGATAATAACCTCATGGACTTTTCTGCCCAGGCTAACTTTGAACCATGATCCTCAGATCTCAGCCTCCTAGGTAGCGAGGATTACAGGTGTGAGTCACTGGTTCCTAGCTAGATAAATGAGAACTGAAGAGAGAGGAATGTGGAAGCTAGGAGGTAAGAAGGCAGGTGTGTGCCAGGGTCAGTTGTCTGCACTGGTCTGACACCCAGATGCCCAGCCGCAAAGCTGCAGGCCGTTGGCTTTCAGCTCACCATTGGCGTCTATGCCCCAGGCCCTGTGTATTCCTGACCACCCCGGCCACCTTTGCCTTGTAACGCATGGCCAGAGGCGTGTCTGCCATGGAATTGTTTGTCTTTCTGAGATTTTGCTGCTGGGCTGAGTTGACTTTTGGGAAAAGAACATATCCCTATAGAAGGCGCTGTAGAAGCGCAAGCTGGCTGCAGGCCGCACTAGGCCTAGGGATTAAAGAGGCCTTTGGTCTACTGGTGGCTTGAAGTCCCCAGCCTCATGTGGCTCCCCTTAATGCCCTACCCATTTGTGGGGACGTTTATGTGTTGCTTTTCAGGTCCTAGAGGGCAGATCCTGGAGGTGCATGCCCGCAGCTTGCTCACTACAGACTACTGCAGGCCTCAGCCCTCTTGGCTGGTGCCTTCTCTGCACCTTTCATATTGATGCCTAGAGGGTTGGGCTAGGAATGTGGCTTAGTAGTAGAGTGCTTGCCTAGCATGCATGAAGCCCTGGGTTCCATTCCTGAGTACCACATAAGCAGAAAAAGTCAGAAGTAGTACGTGGCTCGAGTGGTAAACCGCTCGCCTTGAGCACAGAGAGGCTCAGGAACAGAGCCCAAGCCCTGAGTTCAAAGCCCAGGACCTGCAGGAAAAAATAATAATACATCATGTTAATATTAATGCCTAGAGCTCGGGACTGGTGGGGTTGGGGGCAGATATGAGCCCAGCAGGGCAGCACGCAGGTGGGCAGCTGTGCCTGTGGTGGGCGTAGGGCAATGGCTGTGGCACTCCTGCTCCAATACACAAACTGGAAAAGTCAAACATCTCTTAACATGCCAGAGTATGAATGGGTTTTCGCAAGATGGTTAGATTGCAGGGGACTTGTGTGTCTTTTGATAATGTTCTGTGTTTCCTGCACTTTTGGCAGTGCACACGCATTGGCTTAATAAGCAGGGAAGCACTGTTATTTCAGAAAGACAGGTTACCTGAATGAAAGCAGTGATTTGCTTGTTTCGGTAGCTGTAGTGTCTCCAGCAGTGCCACACATGCTCACTGCTCGCTCTTTGCTGTGTTCGGAAATTGGACCCGGCCTGTGGACCTGGCTCTCAGCACACTGTGGGGCTGGTCATGTCATTTCACACGTGTCTTCTTCTTGGACAGGTCGAGGAGGCGCATCTATTTATGGCAAACAGTTTGAGGATGAGCTCCATCCAGACCTGAAGTTCACCGGTAAGTGTGATCCGGCTGGCCTGGGCGGCAGGGAGGGTGGATTTGAAAGCTTGCTCTTCTGGCTGTGAGTCAAGGCGAGTGCCTGACACCGTGGCATGGTGCCAGGTAGCTGCCCCGCCATGGCGCCACAGAGAGCCCTGGCAGATAAGGATGCGGAGCCTCTCAAGAGTGCTCAGCAACTCCCAAGGGCTGGTGTGAGTGCTCTACACCACTGCTTTTGAGTGTCATAAACTAAAGAGCATGGAAAGCTCATAACAACCCCAAGGCCCTGCCAGGGTGCCTGCGGGAATGGGTAAAGGCCAGCAGGGCTGTGCGTGTGGCCTTTGTGCAGGACAAGGGTCTGCCCTGAGGAAGAAGGGGTCTGCGGCCACAGAGCCTTAGCAGCAGCCAGAACCAAGCCCTGGCCTCTTGCACCCCGGGACTGCCTAGCGTCCTGGGCTGGAGCCCTGGAGTCATTCATATTCTTCCTCATTGTCTTTTCTCCCAGGGGCTGGAATTCTCGCCATGGCCAACGCAGGCCCAGACACCAATGGCAGCCAGTTCTTTGTGACCCTTGCCCCCACCCAGTGGCTCGATGGCAAACACACCATCTTTGGCCGAGTGTGCCAGGGTATAGGAATGGTGAATCGAGTGGGCATGGTGGAGACAAACTCCCAGGACCGGCCTGTGGACGACGTGAAGATCATTAAGGCCTACCCCTCTGGATAGCCCGCTGTCCCTCACAGACACTGCCAGAGCTGCAGGCAGCCCCAGCGACAGCTTCCAGGGGCCCAGAGGGCTTGTAACTCTGAACTCCATTTTGGCCAGGCATCTGGAGCTAAGCAGGCCCTGGGGGTTGGGGTGAGTTAGAGAAGGAGCTGTCGTTAGTAGCGCACTTCCCTCCTGGTGCTCTGGTTGACAGGACATTTGCAGAAACATCCGTAAGTGTTTATCCACCACCTCCTGCTCACCACCGGGGCCCCGCAGCCCTCCATCTCCTTCATCTTCCTGTCACGTCTGCGCTGACACACTTGGAACAAAATGAAGCCGACTCGGTCATATTACAGTTCTCAGCAAACTTGTTCCTGGGAGATTTATATTCCAGCCCACACTGCAGTCTGGTGGGCTGACAGCCACCGAATTCCAAAGCAAGTTGTGTGTCCGGCTTCTTAATTCTGTGCCACCCCTGTTTCAGGCCCCTGTTACTCTTCCCAGGGACCGTGTGTCCATTTATTTCTCCTCAAGGCCACACCAGCACTGCTGCTCTGTACACTTAAGCAGCACACACAAAGCCACCCTGGGAAATGCATCCTGCAGTCAAGTTTCCCAGAAGGTGTGATAGGGACATGGACATACCGAGAGGAAGTCTCTGTGTTCCCAAGGGAAACACTGCTTAGGCGTTTTAACCAAGACTAGAGAAATTGGAGTGTTTTGTACATTTTTGTTTTTTATTTCTGGATTTGGGGACTGTAGGAGTGAAAGGAAGTTAATGTCTGTGTAATACATAGAATCTTCAGAAGTAAAATGCCATTGATGATTGAAATTACTGCTGTCTCTAAATACTGTGCAGTGCTCTCTTCTCCTTTCTCTTCTCTCTTTCTCTGGCAGTCCTGGGGTTTGAATTTGTCTTTGCTAGGCAAGTGCTCTACCATTTGAGCCACTCTCCTGTGCCTGTCTGAGGCTCTAATGGCCATTTTCTGCAAGTAAAATGACAGCTCCTGTCTTCGAGTTTCACATTGCTTAGTAAGTCTCCGGCAGACTCCACTCAAAATCAAAGAAATTCCCTGATGCCCCTGAGTGTGAGGGAGAGATGAGCTGTGGGCACAGGTGGTGGGCTGAGACCTAAGGCAGACATGCTGTGGCCTTTGCTTGCTTCCTGTTCACTGGCAGTTTTGAAAACGCTTATTTGCTTTTTAAAATGGCCCAACAGTGGCTCAATGCTACTGTATTCTCCTCAACTTTGAAATTGATAATGGTCCTGATCACATAATGCTGTGGTCCCATCCCCTGCCTCTTTATCCCAAAGGTGAGTATAGCTGACCTTAGCTCACCTCCCTTCCACTGCTCTGACCTCGGCCATGTCTTCTGTGGGTCTTTCCTGCACCTGCGTGGTGCTTTGAACTCATTGCCAGACAGATCAAGTACCATGCTCTATCTGTTGGCAGAATGAGCTTTATCCCAGGCCCAGACCCAGGCTTTGGCTTTTCCACTCAGCCCTCTGGAAGGCCTCAGCTTTTTTATTTTTAGACTGTGTTTCCAGAATATGTCAAAATAGCTTTTCCAACACAAGGCACCCAGATCTTCCAGCCAGTCTGACCCTCACCAGGACCCAGTTTGGCATCACACAGTGTGTGGGGGAGAAGGCACTGAAAGCTGCAGAATGGTTTTTATTTTTGTTTTTGTTGGTCATGGGGCTTGAACCCTGGGCCTGGGCGCTATCCCTCAGCTCTTCAGCTCAAGTGAGTGCTCTACCCCTCGAGCCACAGAGCCACTTCCATTTTCCTGGTGGTTAGTTGGAGAGTCTTAGGGACTTTCCTGCTTGGGCTGGCTTTGAACTGCAATCCTCAGATCTCAGCCTCCTGAGTAGCTAGGATGACTGGCGTGAGCCACCGGCGCCTGGCAGAATGGGTTATTACTTTTAGGTAAATAGGATAGAATGTTCCAGAAACTAGATTTAAGAGAATGCATGGGAAGAAAATAGGGCAAGTTCTCCCTCTTTAGGTTCGGCCTGGTCTTGAGGAATCGGGTCTCTGTTCTTCTAAACTGCTTGGTAATTCAAAATCCCTGCCTGAAACCGGTGGCTAGTTGTTGGCAAAGTTTGTGCGCTCAGCGTGCGGCCTTCGTGTGACCCTAGGGAGTCACCCGATTGCTGACATGTGTCATTCATCAAGTGGAGACTTCAGCCAAACCCTTTTAGCCGTAAGTCTGAATCTAGGTCAATCTGAGAAGGTTCCGTTAGCTGCCAATTCCCATTTAGCATGCTGTTTTGGATATTTGCCACTAGAGGCCACTGTGGATACAGTTTAGCCTTGCCATATCTTCAAAAGGCACAAGCCTGCCAACACCTTGCATCATTTTACTAAACCTTGCCTGCCCGCCCCTTCGAACACAGAAAGCCAGCAACCGACTGCTCAGATCGCAAGAGACTAGAATTGGGATGTCAGCCTAGCACAGAAGGAGCCTGTGGAAACTGACGGCCCAGCTGAGCATCCCTGTTCTCAGTCTAGCGGTCCAGGTGGGGGTGAAACCCATGTGGTAAAGTTGGCCGAGCCCTGAGCCCAGGGCCTAGTTCCACATCATGCCTTGTCCCAAAGAGCCAGCTTCTTCTTGACCACCTAATGTTCCTCTCTACAGTTGGGCTCATTTGTTCAATGTAATTTGGAGCCCCTCTCACATCCAACACCAAGAAAACCAGAAGAACCTTTAGAAGAAAGCAGTCATGGTCCCTTTTACATGATCTAAGGATGCTCTCTGATTTTTTTTTTTTTTTGGTCCGGTCATGGGGCCTGAACTCTGGGCCTGGGCGCTGTCCCTCAGCTCTTCAGCTCAAGGCTAGCGCTCTACCACTTGAGCCACAGCGCCACTTCCGGCTTTTTTCTTATGTGGTGCTGAGGAATCAAAACCAGGGCCTCAAGCATGCAAGGCAAGTGCTCTACCACTGAGCCACCTTCCCAGCCCCTCTGATTTCTTTTTTAATCGATTGTGGGGCTTGAACTCTGGGCACTGTCCCTGAGGTCTTTTGCTCAAGGCTAGCACTCTACCACTTTGAGCCACAGCTCTTATTTCCAGTTTTTAGGTGGTTAATTGGAGATATGAGTCTCATAGCTTTGGGCCTTTCTGCCTGTACTGGCTTCCAACTGAAATCTTCAGATCTCTGCCTCCTGAGCAGGATTACAGGCCTGAGCCACCAACTCATATTTTTCTCATAATCCTCCCAACCAACTTCTGAGGAGAACCAAACCTTGAGAGAATGAAGGGAGGGAGTTACATGTAGGCCCACAGCCTGCATGACCAGGACTTGATTTCTGATCTTACACTGAGCTCTTTCTCTGATATCTCCACCTTTGATACACAGGAGGAAGATGACACAAAGGAAAGGAAGAATCTGGTGTAGGGCAGGGTTACCACTGCTGTGTGCCTGGCAGGCTGCAGTGTCTACCCTGGCTGTGTCATTTCCTTGCAACAGAGCCTGGGTAGAGCCTGGGAGGCCCTGTGGGAAAGGTGGGGGTAGCCCCCCCTAATCAGTGTGTTTATTGAGTCCTAACTCTATTAGCCTCACCACCCAGCCCTGCCTAGAGCAATCACTCATTCTCCTCTGCCAGGACTGGCCTCTATTCCATTAAAAGCTGCAGCCCATGGACCCTGTTTCTCCTCAGCCGAAACATCAGGGGCAGAATAGAACCACACTTCCCTGCCTCCTTCCTCTGACTAGACACATGGCCATCTGACATTGACTTAGAAAGGCCCCCAAAGGAAGGGAACCCACAGTTGACCGGCAGGGACAGGAAGTGTTCCCAGCTGCCTCTCTCTGTGCTGGTGATGGAGACCCAGCCGGAGCAGGGTGGGGACTTGGGTTTGGAGACTTAAGTTGGAGGACTGCAGGTTTGTGTCCAGCTCCGCAGCCCTGGGTGGAGTGCTGGTGAGGTGGCTGGAGGAAGGTTCCCTTGCCTTTCTCTGCTCTGCACTTCTAGTCACTACATGCCCTTGATGTCTGCCTTAGTTCTGTAAAATGAGAGCCGCCCTCTCTCTGCCCAATGTGGGGCACAGCCCTGACTTGGTGGCATGCTCTCAGCTACGGTGGAAAAGTAGTGGGGGGTTTTACCCTCTCTGTACTGGGCAAGCATTCCACCACTCCACTGCCCCTCAGCCCTGTTGTCCTCCTATGTTGAGCCAGGGGGACCTGCGGGGAGAGCCAGCAGAGCACCCCTCCTCTGTCCCAGGCAGACAAGTGGCTGTCAGCAGTAACCCACCCCCCCATCCCACCCCAGAAAGCCAACACTCAAGCCTGGCCAGAAGGCTGATAGAATTATCTGAGAACTTGGAACAAACACTTCCCACAATCAGGCCAGCTGTTCATAGCCAGAGGTGGAGGAGGCAGGGCTGGAAGTGTGATGAGCTCCCCTCCCAGGCAGGGCCAGAGCTAATAAACCCAGGGAAATCACGGCCAGCTCAGAGCAGCACGCATGCGCCCCGAAGGCCTCGGGGACCTCGGGGACCTCGGGGACCTCAGCTTCCACACGCAGCGGCCTCGTGGCATTTTGCGCACGTTTCCGTTACCTCCGCAGCCAGGCAAGCAAATACAGGCAGCTTGGCATGAAAATCAATTTAGAGTTTGAAAAGAAAAAAAAAAAGAATTTCATCCTTAGGGAATACAGCCAGGGGAGATGCCAAGGAGAAGTGGTGGCTGGGATCAGGGCTGGGGTGAATCAGTGCCCCCCCTTCCTACACCCCTATCTGCTGAGGGGGGGGCACAGGCCTTTACAGCAACTAGGTCAGGGGAGAGGGAAGTGTTCCAGGAATGGACTGTGAAGGGGTCCTTGGGTGATAAGCTAGCTGCTCTCCATGTCTCAGCCCAACAGGAAGGCATGAGGTGGGGGTGAGGGGCAGTTTCCTGCAGGGCTGGCTTTCCTCTTAACTGATGAAATGTGAAGACTCATTGTCTGTTTCTGAAGATGCTCAAACCAGGGGAAATGGGCTGTATGGAGTGTAGCGGGCAAGAGGCTTTGGAGCCGCCTGGCTGCTCTCAGGGAAGTGAGGGAAGTGGGGGGGGGCAGGTTAAATGAACTCAGCTGCAGAGCACTTGCCTAGCAGGTACAAACGTTCCATCTCCAACACTGCAATTGTGGGGAGAGGACCCCTGAAAAAAAAATCCAGCCACAACAATGGGACGCTGAGGCTGGAGATATACCCAAGAGTGCAGTGTGGATGTTCAGTGGAGGAGAAACTGGCAGACTGGGGAAATCCAGGCTAGCTTCTTGGAAGAGGTGACATGTAAAAGATGAAGACAGGGCTCGAAGTATGGCTCATGTGGTACAGCGCCTGCCTAGCAAGTACAAGACCCTGAGTCCAAACCTCCATACCACCATCACCACAGCAACAACAAAAAGGTAGGATTGGGGCCAAGCAGAGAGGAAAGAAAGGCCCAGGGCAAGCAAGCTGGTTGGTTTGAGGCTAGCAAGGTGAGATGAAAGATCTCCTGGGCCCTGGTTGTGGGAGGCCTGGAGATGCCATGTTAATGCTAATCTGCCAGTAGAAGGTCCGGACCCCACCCCTCCTCCAGGGAGCCTGAGGAGCAAGAGCACAGCATTCAGGAGCTCAGTTCCTGCCAGCCGCCCGTGGCTCACACCTGTAATCCTAGATATTCAGGAGGCTGAAATCTGAGGATCACAGTTTAAAGCCAGCCCCGGCAGGAAAGTCCTTGAGACTTATTTCCAATAAACCACTAGAAAACCGGAAGTGGTGCTGTGGTTCAAGCAGTAGAGCGCTTGCCTTGAGCTGAAGAGCTGAGGGACAGCGCCCAGGCCCAGAGTTCAAGCCCCACAACTG